CTAGACAGATGTAAGGGATGACAGTCAAGTTTACTATACTGAAGAGAGTAGGCCTTAAGTGTAAAGCAGAAGCTAACAACTTGGAGAAAAAGCAGAGAGTAATCCATTATTTCAATAAGCATTCAGATTAGGTAACCTAAAAAGATATCAAGGATGCAACCCAATGATTGTACCTGTTGTGAAATAAACGCAACCCGACAACATGAGAAACTCTGAGGAAGTATAAAAAATTATTATTATTGTTATACTTCTTTTTCTTTTCTTTCTACCTAATCTCATTGTTCTTTTTTTTCTCCTCCTCTTTCTTATTTTTAGTATTATTATTCGTAGTGGTAGCGGTAGTAATAGTATTCGCAAAATTAGTGACTAGCATGGCATACTCCTATATCATAATAGTGAATTCAGGACTAACGAGGTGGTTATATAGTTCGGCCGGAAGGTGATCCAGCATCCTCAGTGGCAGTCTTCAGCCTATTTCCGGCTGTCCAAAGCTCGAATTAACCCCCAAAAGTGTCCTCAAAAAGGTAGGCTCAAGCGTAAAATGAATGAGCCATTGAATTTTGGGCAATAGAAACCTACCAAATGAATGTGAAATACTAATTGCCCAATCAGCTGTTAAGACAAAGTGTCTCAGAAAAAGATGGATCCCACTAGTAGAATTCTGCACGAAGGAGCGAGTTGCCCGTTTGTCACAGACCGAGAGGAGCGGATGACCGTCCAGAAAGAATGCATGGAGGGCAGGAAAAGTGGAGAGCTAAGGAGAAATCCTATTTCAAGCTAAAAAAGCAAACCGTTCAAAATAAACTTAATTAAGACCAACGTGATAAAAACACCTTCAGAAATAATCAAATGCTGCATAATTAGTATGTCTTGTTGTCTTGCGGGTCCCAAATAGACATAAAGAACGATGATCAATGCGGACGGAAGGTAGGCCAAAAAAGTGTATGGAATAAGAATAAAAACAATTAAAGAGAGCCGATCTATGACGGACCAAACCCGTGGTAGACAGCACCAAATACTTTAGGCAGAAATAGGCCCATTAAATGTGGGTGGCCGTCGAAAAACGCCTCAAGCGAGTGATCCTCTCTCCATATAATATGCGTTCAAGGCGCAGTACTTCAAGTAGAGATCTCAGCCCCCAGCAGGAAAGGCAGACTTAAAAGACTTGAGAGGCTGGACATAAAATTCGTGCTTCTGTACGTGAATGTGTACATATGTATGTATGTATGTATGTATGTATGTATGTATGTATGTATGTATGTATGTATGTATGTATG